TCTCCCTCCCTCCCTCCCTCCCTCCCTCCCTCCCTCCCTCCCTCTCTCTCTCTCTGTCTCTCTCTCTCTCTCTCTCTCTCTCTCTCTCTCTCTCTCTCTCTCTCTCTCTCTCTCTCTCTGCCTCCTGTCTACAGATCAGGATATAAAACTACAGCTACAGTACCATGGCTGTCTGCTTCCTGCTACTATGATTATGGACTAACTCCTCTAAATCTGTAAGCAAACCCTCAATTAAATGCTTTCTTTTAAGAGTTGTTTGGTGTGCTGGGTAATTTTACATCAACTTGACAAAAGCTAAAGTCATCTGAGAGGAGGGAACCTCAATTAAGGAAATGACTCCATAAGATCTGGCTGTAGATAAGCCTGTAGGGCATTTTCATAATTAGTGATTGATCGGGGAGGGCCCAACCCATTATGGGTGGTGCCATCCCTGAACTGGTGGTCCTGGATTCTATAACAAAGCAGGCTGAGCAAGCCCATGGCCTCTGCATCAGCTCCTGCCTCCAGGTTCCTGCCCTGCTTGAGTTCCTGTCCTGACTTCCTTCAGTGATAAACTATGGAATATGGAAGTGTAAACCAAATAAACCCTTTCTTCCCCAACTTGCTTTTGTTCATGTTGTTTCATCATAGCAATAGTAACCATAACTAGGATGCCTTGGTCATGGTGTCTCTTCACAGCAATCGAATAGAAACTAAGACACTGAGTGTATTCGGGCTATTCCCTAAATAGTGCAGTATAACAACAATTTATATAGTGATTACATTAAAATAGTTATGATAACTAACTAGGCATGCTTTAAGCAATACAAAAGGGCATCCACAAGTTATAGGAAAGTGCTACAACTGCTCACTCTCCTGTTTTTGTGAGTGCTACCCCCTCTTTGTCAAGAGAGAATTCTTGCCTTGTTGAGACATTTCAAAAAAGTGCCATGGCGCTTATTAAATAAGATTTGAACATGAATAAATTTTGGCATGAAGTAGAGAGGGATCTCGGAACAAAACCCCAGAAGATACAAGGGTCAACTGTACATGATTTTTCTGCCATTCGGACACCATGAATATTATCTATTCTAACATTTTTTTTTAAATTCTCATACCTCTCCCACAAGAACTCATCTGCCTACACATGGTAAGTGATTTATAGTTGTTTCACATGTCACCGATGCTCTTTTCATTTTCTTGGAATGTTTGGACAATTTCTATCGAGATGGCTTCAAGTTCACAAATCGTTTTTGTTTAGCAATGCTTAATTTTCCATTAGTCCTTAAAAAAGTAGGGTCTTACCATGTATCTTAGACTGGCCTCAAGCTTACTATGTAGGCCAGAATGGCCTTGAACCCTCAGTAATTGTCTTGCCTCTGCCTCTTGATTGCTGGGATAACGGGCATGCACCACCAAAGCCCAACTTTTTTTTTTTTTTAATTTTTGAGACACTTTTGCTATGTAGCCTATTTTATCCTAGAACTCACAATCTCTATCTCAGAAGCAATTATAATTACAGGCGTGCACTGGCATGCCCAATGCCAATTCAACATATTTTCATCTCAAACATACAGTCTTCATCTACAAAAGAATATTTTGGGTCTTTTGTTGTCTTCTCTATCTCTAACTTTTTGAACATTTTGGATATAGAGCAAGTGATTCCGTGCCTTTGTGTGCTAATTCTGATATCTATGACTGTTTCTGATATGCTCTGATTGGTTTCCGCATTACAGCTTGTATTTTCCGGTAACATCAAGCCTCTTGTTCTAGTAGTTCATGAGAAACAAAGGGGATAAAGGCATATGGTAAACATTATACCATTAAGGAAAGGTGAAACATGGGAAACTACACAAAGTGTCCATCTCTTTAACATGTAAAATGCAAAGAGAAGAGCAGGAGGAATGACAAAAAGATTAAGAGTGTATACAGCCCTTGCAGCGGACCTGACTTCAGTTCCCAGGGCCCTCATTGGATGGTCACAACTGCTTGTAACTCCTCTTTAGGAGGATTTGATTTCCTCTTCTGGTCTCTTTAAGCACTTGCATCCACATACACATTCCCACAGGCAGACATATACATCTACACATACTTTTAAAATAATTAAAATAAATCTTAATGTGCATGGAATGAAAATGATTTAAGAGACTAGCCAACTGCTGGGACTGGGAATTTGGTTCTGTGGAAGAGTGTTTGCTCAGCATGCATAGGGCCCTAGGTTCAATACCCAGCACTGGTAATTAAGCATATAAATAAAAAAAGTTAGTGTTTTTTAAAGAGAGAGAGGATAGCCAAATGCATTATGAGGACTTTGTTTGGGTCTTGCATTGTAGAAATAATACATAAGCTATTCATGGAAAATTTGAATACTATGTCATATATTAAGAAACTTCATATTTAGAAATTATTATTTAAAAAGATATCTTAATAATTTTGTGACTTTCTTCTAAATCAGGTCTTATTATTTAATGAGGCATTGTGAAATGTTTACAAGTGAAATAATACTTTGATTATGATTTTATTCAAAATAACCTAGGGAAGCAAAGAGGAGTGTACAGACAGAACAAGTTAGCCATGGAATAATAATTGTTAAATCTGAGTAGGTGGTCTGTAAGTTCTTTCTACTTCTGAGTTTTTTATTTTATATATTTGCTACAAAAAATTAATATTTGACATTATTCCTGCTGGATATTTTTCATCATAAAATTGCTGTGGAATGTTCCTTTACACTGTGTGAATATATGTTGCTATGATTGGTTTAATAAACAAGCTGACTGACCAATAGCTGAATAGGATACAGTTAGATGGGAAAGCCAAATAGAATGATGGGATGAGGAAAGGCAGAGTCAGAAGAGTCACCAACAGACACAAAGGGAGCAGGAAATGAATGTGCCATGTTAATTAAGTTACCACATAGCAGAGCATAAATAAGGAATATGTGTTAATTTAAAGTGTAAGAGTTAGCTAGTAATAAGCCTGAGCTATTGGCCAAGAATTTATAAGTGGTTATTTGGGAAATGGCAGGCAGAAGAGAAAGGTCCAACTGCATAAAATTGTTCAGATAGATGACCCCTTGCATGAGAAAATTTGTTTGCTACTCCCTCCCTACCCCAGTGGAATTGTATTCAAGACTATTCCTCTATTATCATAACAAATTACTCATTTATTCTCAAATACTTCTCTACTTCTTGACCATAAGCAAATATTGTATGTTCTTTCGTATCTATAATATCTTCCATAGAGTCTGGGGCCCAGTAAATTGTGGTGAGTTGGAAATTCACCAAGATGTCCATGACAGAGGGGCTGGTTCCATTGTATTGAACCAAATTTCCAGGCATGAAATTGGGTCCTTTTTTGGAATGGGTGGGGGTCTTATTTATTTACTTCATTATTTATTAAGACATTCTCATGTAGGCCAGGCTGGCCTCCAACTTGTTAGGATCCATGGTCATCCCTGAAGTCCTTCCTGATCTTCTTGCCTCTGCCTCCTACCCAGAATTGCAGGCATGTGCCTCCACACCCAGAAGGGATTGTGTTCCTTACATTCCAGTGAGACTGTGTCTACGTGCATGGCCCAGGCCCTGCAGGAGTGCTAAGGCAGAACCCGGGAGTGGGGTGTTGAGGTTGTTTCAAAATTCACAGTGTGCTTCCTGTCCTTACCATCAGGGACTCCTTCTTCTGCGACCTTTGCCACCTCTCTGTGTCTTGCTCATCCTCCTCACAGGATTGTTCTGACTGAAAGGAGGCACATTCGGTGTGGTATGTGGAAGTCCTTTAAAATGCAAACATACAAAGTTGGACGTGCAATGGTTTTTCTTCTTCCAAGGCACCACAGACCACATTTTAGTTACTGGAAAGACTATCTTGGTGAAATGGCTCAGGAAGTAAAGCCTGTTTGGGGTCAGTTTTATACACATTTAAAAAAATCAATGCTTTTTATAATCAAGCTTCCACATAGCTTCAGAATGGAATGTAAAACAATGTGCATATTGCTTGCTTGCACCATCTATACTAAGTGTGCAATGCATGTGTTCACATGTACAAATAAGGCACTTAGTAAGAGGACTCATGCTGTGCTAAGAGCTGCTGACAGGAAGAAAGGGATAAACCCTCTACCCAGAGCCTGTCCTCAGTTTGCCCAATCCAAGCCTTTGTCTGCACCTGCTTCTCCATCTTTACATGTCTCACACTATTCATTCTCCTGACTGACTGGTTTTTGTTATCTATATTCTTCTGTGATATTCATTTTCTAATTAAGAATTGAATGTGCATTATTTTTATTGCTGAGCCATGACATTCATGTAGACCAGGCTGGCTTCAAACTAGCAATATAGCCAAGAATGACTTTGAACTTCTGATTCCCTTGCCTCCTCCACCTCTGCTGGAGGTGGAATTACAGGCCTGTGTCAACTCTCCCAGTTCATGTGACTTTAGTCAGTGTTAGGCACTATACAAATTAAGCTATGTCCCTAGCCCAGTCAACAATTTATTTCCCTGTTTTAGTAAAGGCAAGCCTTTGTTTATTATTTTAGCTAGGGTCATCAAAACTGCAAATATTTCAGAACGATCCATTAAGTCGTGCATTTGGTTTGTGTAGTTCTGTTTTAGTCGTTTTTCAGTTTTATTTAAAAATTAATTTAAAAAATAAAAACTCTTCTTTCAAAACTCAACACAGCTTGGGCTGAGCGAAAAGAAACATGCAGGTGCTGGCCACCGCGAGGAGTGTAGACGGTAGTCTAGGTCACATAGCCTCCCAGAAGGGCAAGACAGCTAAGAAAGACGACAGTAAAACAGGCAATAAAAACAGTGACGGCCATCATAAAACGCATACTTTGAGCATGAAACTCCTTCGCCAAATAGTACGAGTCGCCATCTCCGTTATACAAAGCTGTGCACAACGGCGGCCTCAGCGGCTCTCCGGGCGCCCCTCAGGGCCCCCTTTCCAAGGGGGGGAACGGCAGGCGCGGCCAGGTGGGCGGGGCAGGCGGGGGCGGGGCCGGTGGGCGGGGCTGTGGCGCCGGCGGGCGGCTGGGCGGCTGGGCGGCTGGGCGGGGCGCGCTCAGGCCTCGGCTCCTCACGCGCGGCGAAAGCGGCCCAGACCCCGCGCTGCGGGAAGCCGGGGCGGTGTGTGGCGCGTCGCTGGAGAGCCGAGGGAGGCAGCCGCTGGAGGAGGAGCGGCGGGCACTGAGGTAGGCGCACGGACGCGGGGCGCCGGGCCAGCTCTCCTCTGCGCCCCTGGCCCGCGGCAGGCTGCGAGGCCGAGGGGCGGCGCACGGAGGCCGGGGCGGGCGGGGCCGGGGGCGGGGACTGGCCTGGCCGCAGGGGCCGCGCGCGGTGCGGGGACTCCGGGCGCAGCGCAGGCACGCCGGAGGACGAGTCCCGGGGCTGGCGGCAAAGGGGAGCGCTGGCCCGGGTGCCCTGCGGAGGAGGCCGGGGGACCGGATGGCCGGCGCCTCCCACCTCGCGGGACGCCTGGGCCGGGAACTCGTTAACAGGAAAGCTTGGCAGGGCGGCAAATGCCAAGGTTCTGGAAGAACTGAGAGTCACGTCGTTCGGCGCTGAGGCTTTATTTTCCTTCCCCGCCCCCTGCCCGGCCTCGGCCAGACTTAGCCAAAGAAGGATGTGTCACCAGTTCGGGGCTGCGGGCGGGCGGGCGGGATCCCAGCCGCCCTGGGAGCACGGGCACCTGAAACAAAGGTGGAGGGCGGCCGAGTGGCTGAGCTGCGAGGGCCTCGGCGGCTCCCACGGCCGCGCCGGCCCGGCCGCCGCCTCGGAGGGGCGTTCTCCTTGGGGACCGCTGGATGGAAACCAGCTGGCCCGGCTTGGAGTTGATGTTGCGTCGGAACTGTGTTGGGCTCACATTATTTCCATTCCTCCCACTCCGATAAAGCCTAAGGAAATTTTTATCCCGCTCAATGCACTGCAAATGAGGAGGGGGAAGACAAATTGCTGTTTGTAAATTATAGGGTATTTTCTTTGTAGAAAATAGTTTGAAGACACAGAATAAATGCTTTAACAGGCAGGCGAAGGGAATGATTTGTAGTACCTTTCAAAATCTAAGAAGAGTTCCTCCTGGGATCTTCATTTATGTACAAAACGTCCCCCGCCTGTTTGGTGCCAGACATTTTTCTTTGTTCTTCTTTAGTGTCTGGCCTCAGTTTCTTGTAAACAGAGCATCAAGCACAGAGACCCTAAAAATTGCCATACTAGGTCAGAGCATGGGCGTCCTGCTAAGCAGGCAACAGACTCGTAGTAAAACACAGGGCTTTTTCCTTGGTTCTGTTAAAAATTATCTCAATTTGTTTCACTGGTCTCCATTACTAAAAGCTTTTTTTTTTTTTTAAATCTACAGATGGCTTCTGATTTGCACGCGATTTATTCGCGTTTATTGCATTCAAGAGGCTCTGGTCATTTCTGACAGACATAGTCATGAAATATTTGTGGGGGGAAAGTTTGCATCTTTTATGCAACAGGGAAGCTCAGATGGGGAATACAAAGTTTTGCTGTATTTTGTTTGTTTGTTTTTTAATTGAAATCTTTGGAGAAATCTTTACCAGGAACAACATAGTTATTGGATTCAGTGATAGTTTTATACACTAACAACCCGAATATTAAACAGCTAATGCTTTACTTTGATGCATAAGATTGGCACATGTTAAAATGTCACTATGCTTAACATTCTGCATAGTGAAGAGGCTGTCTGACATCTTGGTCTGATTTCATCTGGCCTTAAAATTCAGCTGAAACCAAATATCCCGAGAGAAAGTTTTGCTTGAGCAGGTAGAGAATAAAGGAATTGGGAAGTTATGGAGTACAGGATATTTGAAGTTAATAAACGACTCATATCTGATCTGTATAGTTACAATTGATCTGCCCTCTCATCTTTCAACGGGTAACTCAAGCTGTAAGTCTCTGAAACTCTTCCTGACATCCAATTCAACCTCCCATCCCAACCATCCCCTCCCTCTGCTACAAAAGTAACAACAAAACCCCACCAAAGCAAGGAGTAGAATTGACTGCCCTTTTGAGTATTGCCCTCTCTGTCCTGGTTTCTCGTTCATGGTACTGTCGACATTTTATTTCAGATAATACTTTGTTGTGGAAGGCTATCCTGTGCAATAGAGGATGGTTAGCCAGCCACCTTCCTGACTTAGAATCCTAGCTATTAGTATAGTACTATACACATACTTAATGACAACCAAAATTGCTTCTAGGCCAATGCTGTGTCTCTTCAATACAATTCCTCATGTAATGTGGACCCTCAACCATAAAATTATTTTGTTGCTACTGTTGTGAATCATAATATCTATGTTTTCTGATGTTTTTAGGCAATCCCTCTGAAAAGGTCATTCAGCCCCCAAGTTGAGAACCACTGTTGTAGACATTGCCAGGTATCTCTCCGAGAAGGGCCAAGTTATCCTTAGTTGAAAACTACTGTTGTAAATGGGCTGCTGCCTTAATCCCAGAACAACATCACCCTTGTTAGCTGAGGTGTTGTTGAATTTATCTGCTTTCCTAAGTAAGAGCAAGAGAAATGATTTATTTCATATGTGACAGCCTACTTTGCCACCTGGATGGTAGGTTAGATCTGAAAACCACAGGTATAAATAATATCTGCATTTCTGGTTTTTACAGTCTGAAGAGGTAACTGGTGTAAACATGTAATTATACAGTTATCTCATCGCAACTGTGTTAAATTTTAAGGAGAAGCACAGGTTTCCCTGAGTGCCTAAAATGTTAATCTTGACCTCCTCTGGAAACTGAGGGAAGTTTCTTTGGGGGAAGTAATATTTGAGATGGACTCAGAAGGATAAACATGGAATTGCTAAGTAAAGCTTGGGAAACAGTATTCTACACAGAAGAAGGGAGAGCTGTGAACCTGAAGACGGGAAAGAATAGTTTTTTTCTTGGGAACCCAGAAGCTAGTGTGGCTGGAACTTGAAGAGAAAGGGGGCCAAATGATATAAAAGAAATAAGAAAGTAGGCAGAAACTTTCTGCTACTGATTGATTTCTCAGCCCAGCCTACCACTAGAATCATACAAGGACTTAAACCAGTGTGGGGCCCTTGTCCAGGCCCATTAAATCACAATATTTTCTTCCAGCTACTTTTCCCCATCCCTTCTGGATAGATAGATGCCTGCTATAGTTTTGTTTAACATTCTGGACTTTTTTTTTTTTTTTTTTTTGATAGGCATCCTGTTTACACAAATGGTAGCACACTGTGCTCTGTTCTTTTAATAGTCCCTTGGGAATGTACCCATTTTGATGTATATGTCCTTTATTTTTTTGAATGATTTAATAGTATTTCTTTATAGGCTACATTACAGATTATTTAGCAATTCTCCCTTTGATGGGTATGTAAATGTTTCCAGTTCATTATAAAGAACACTATAAATATACCAGTTCCTGTGTGTATGGGTATATTTGTGGGATAAGTTGATAGAAATGAGATTACTGGACCAATATTTGTGAAAGATCATCATATGGAAAAAATGATTTGAACAGGGTAGCTAAAACATAAAAAAATAATAACTGGGACTAGGATGATAGCAATGGAGCTAGAAAGAAGTACGTGTCTATATGAAATGTATTTAAGGGGTGTGGTTGATAGTATTTAGAACAATTCTCAACCTGTAGGTCAGAATCCCGTGGGGGTCACATATCAGATATTTACATTACTATTAATAATAGTAACACAATTACAGTTAGGAAATAGCAATAAGATAATTTTATGGTTAGGAGTCACCACAGCATGAGGGACTGACTATATTTAAAAGGTCAAAGCATCAGGATAACTTTCAGGAGTTGGGTGTCCTTGTCGATGCAGGGTCTTTGTTGTTTTTTCCTGTGCTGCCACCTCTAGACTTGCTGGCCCGTGTGCTTTCTGGTTATTTTCTCTGTCTCCATCTCTCATCTGACTATGGGAGTGCTGGCATTGAAGATGCGTGTAGATGAACCACATAGTTCTGAGGATCCAACTCAGTCTCGAAGTACGAATGCGTTCACCAGCTGAACCAACTTGCTGGCCTAATTCTGTGTGCTTTTGAATGTATAATCCCTGGTCACGGGAGACAAATTTTCTTTTTGGTTTTACGTTGGAAACACTGAGTGATTTAAAAAAAAAAATACTAATGCTGAGGCTGGGAAAGAGCTGCACGAGTATGAGGGCCTATTTGGAATTTCCAGTATCCATGCAAAAATCTATGCGTGGCAATACAGTTGCAAGTAATTCCAGTTCGTGACAGGGAAGGGAGGATCATTGGAGTTTGCTGACCACTAGCCTGGCTCCAGGTTCAGTGAGAGACTATTAGCCTTCTCTGGCTTCTCTCTATGAACGTGAGCACACACACCAGCGTGCATATGTGCACATGTAACACATAGACGCCACTGCACAGACATTTGCATACACACAAAATAAAAAATAATGCTGAGGTCCATCTAAAAAATTTTTGTTTCTATTTATTTGGTCTGAATTGTAGCTTTGGGTTGGTTTGTTTGTACTTGTGTTGTATGTGGTGATAGTGGTGGTATTTTAATTTTTCAGTCGGGGTCTAGCTAGTTAGCTCTCCAAGGCCAGGTACTTGTTGAAGCACTAGATGGCCTCTAAGTAACATTGCTCATTCTGTTTAGCCTCTCTAGTGCTGGCAGCCTCGTCTAAATGCTCCTCAGATGACTCCACTGAGTAGTGGAAGGAGAGCCAATAACCCAAGATTAGCAACATAAGAGGCCCCAGAGTGTGGGATTTTTTGTTTTGTTTTGTTTTAGAATAAGATAATGAGAAGTAAATAGAGAGGTACCTTGCTTGATGTTAGGTATGTGACAACTGAATGCATACTGTGGAGTTTTTAATTAAATGAGGCAGAAAAAAAGTTTTGTTTGCATATAGACAAGCACACTGTACTTAAATGAGAATTTAAAGGGTTTTAAAAGTAAACCATACTTGGAGATAGAGTTGACTCAGCACCCATATTTAGGTTCACAATTATCTGTGACTCTAGTTTCAAGGGAGTCAATGCCCTCTTCTGGCCTCCACTGGCATCAGTACTACACACATTCAGGCACAATACCCATATACACAAAATAATAAATGAATAAAGTATTTTAAAATAGTAATCCATACTCGATTTTTACTTTCTTTAAAATCTAATTGTAGTAGCTGGGCAGTGGTAGTACATACCTGTAATCCTA